GGGAAAGAGACAAGAAATAAAACAAGAATATGCCTTCCAGTGTGCAAGACCAGAGGGAGGGGACAAAGGAAAAAACTGTACAAGACTTATTTCCCTTCCCTTATCTAAAAGGAACTCTCTACATAAAAATTTCAGGGAGTCCACTCATTTGCAGGGCAGAGGATTACACAGCAACAGATTTCTAAGCATTCAGTTCATGCAAAACATACTAACACCAATACAGAATCATGAGCAGCAAAGCAATGCCAGAAAACTGGAATCGCCCGTTTCAGATGTTGATGTATGATGTATAGAAACAAACATACCATCCTAAGTCATAGATATCATGGAAAAGAAACTTCCACACACTGACTTTTTTTACATATGATTCCTCAATTAAAAATTTTCGAACAAAATTCTTTGTAGCATGTCAAAAATTCATCCAATCAAAAATTAGGATTTATTTCCTTACAAAGTCAATGAGCTTGACTTCTTTCACTTACTAGTATAGGCCTCTAACTGTGTTTGTATTACAACATTACTCTACACTCAGGCTTAAATGGCTTTCCTGGCAAAAAAAGGTTTTAGATTTGATGACGCATTTATTCTAAAAGCAAATTTCTTCTCCATCTCTCCAGAGACTTCAGTAACAGTCTGGATAGCAACCAGCATCTGTATAGTACTACTACTGAGTAGATCCTACTATATTATCAGGTGATATTTAGACCTTGACGTCTATAAACGTGCTTAAAAAGGAACTATCAGTTTGTATCAAAATAACTAGTTATAGGCATAGACTGCCACCTAGTGATTTTGATTATCTACAAAAAAAAAAAAAAGACAAAGAAAAAACCAAACAACCTCTCTCTTCCAGGAGAGGAGAAAAAACACATTCATTCCTTCATATTTTACATCAACATGTAAAGAAACAACCTCATATTATATCACTTGTATCTCTTATTATTACATTGATGGTAAATGTAGGAGGGCAAGTCAGTAAGTGTATGTAATCTTCCTTGTACAGGTAAGATCCATGAGGATGCTTGTTCATTGATTCTGTCTGGGATTCCTCCTTATTTTACATGGACTCTAGCCTTCGCATAAAACAAGCAGAGCATCCAGAACCTATTTAATCTCCAAGACAACACTGACAGACAGCCACACCCCCCTCAAAATTTTGGATTCCTTCAATTTTTGCACTTTCAGTCTTTCCTGGTTCTCCTCAGCATTGTAACTATATTTTCAGTACATCCTGTAGTTCATCTTTGCCGTTCCCTCTTCAGCCACTGCCTGTTTTCTATAGGATTTCACTATTAATGAAGAAAGAAGCCAAAAGTTACCTGTGTCATCTTAACTGCCTTACAAGGTTGAATTATCATTATGTGAATGACTCCTAAATTCACCTTTTATCTTCAGACTTCTCTTTCTGTCCAAACTCATATTTCAGATATTGCCTTCATTTACTTAAAGGCACCTCATCAGCAGCATGAAGAACTCATTTATTTTTCCTGTCAAGCCTTATCCACCCTCTTCTCTCTCAATCACTATCAACACCTTCAGTTCACTTCTCACCTAGACCTAAATCTCAGAATCTGCAAGATAAATGGATCTTAGGAAGATCTTTCTATAATGAATCTGTAAGACAAACTTGGCGTTTTTTTAAGCAGGAATACAGTAAAAAGCTTTTCAAATTTCTCCTTCTCTTCCAGCTAACACACTTTTCCTCTAGCAAATACAATCTTTGCAACGCTCTGAATGAATGTGGAGAGTTTCCTACCTTGTTAATTTGATCTCACCAGCACTTTATGTACCCACCCATTTTATTTTACAATCACATGAAACAAGAGCACTACTTAGTTCTTCCTTATCAAATCTATACTCTTATTCACCATAAAGATGTCAGTACCCTTTTTGATCAAATGGCAATACTAGCTTTCATTAGCCCTTGTTCAATGTTCATACAAGTACTTCCACAATTTCTCATGTTGCCTCTCATGCTTTAAAGGAGTTCTTTTCAAACATTCCCAAAGTCACGTCATATCTTCCTCAAAAATCTCATTAAAAATCTTTGTTGTTATACCCATAAAATACATCTGATTCTAGCTAGGCTGCTGATGTGCTGTGACTGCTGCTTATCATACTAACACAGTGTAAATAGTTCTTTGCACCCCCTCAACAGTACCCCTGCACTCTGGGGCAGGGGCTATCACAGAGTCTTGGAACAGCACTGGCACTTCTGAATACACCATCAATAAAATGCTACTACAAGAATTAAATAATGCCTTTCCTTCATTCCAATATTATATGACTTTCTTACATCAAAGAAAACCAACAAGTGACTGTCAAAGCAACACCCTAACAATATAAAATTTGCTCCTTTTGTCTTTTAAACTGGTGATGTTCACTAAAAGACAAGAAGGTTGCTTATGGAGCCATCTGCAGCTGTTGCTTATTTCCCAAATGAAGTCTTCTGTTGCCCATGTTTCCAGCAACCGACTGCTGTCTCAGAGGCTTCATTTTCACATGAAGTCTAGTAAACAGAGTTAACGTATCACACCAGAGCACTCTAACTCAACCTCAACATGCAGCACTAAAGATCATTGCTAATAAAAGTCCTATCCAAACTATTTGAACATTAATGTATAAACCAGAGAGTGAAAAGACATCCACATAATAATTGAAGCAGAGAAACAAGACAACAAAATATGGTTATGTTTCTAAAACTTCTTAAAAGTATAGTCTTCCTCCTCTCCCTTTTTTGGTTCACTCCAAAAAAGTGGATCTTGGTGATCTCCAAGATGGCAGTAACTCATCTCCTCCAGATGAGGAAAATGAAACAGATTTAATCACCGGCTGCAAGTGGTCCCAGTCATCCTGGTGCCTTGAAGAAAGTAAGCTGCTGAAACTTAACATTTTATAACCTCTTATTCTGTTTAATAGCCCAGTGGGGGAGACAGCAACTGCCAAATTAAAAGATGTCAGGTTACTGTATCCACAACCAGTTTCCAAGACCTGTAAATTGCTATGTACTACCTAGCCTGCCATACATGGAAACATTGATTCTTTTTTTAGCATTCCAGTAACAGTACTTCTCACAGCAAAACGGGTACTTAATGAAACGACACCAAATGGATAACCAAAGAAGAAACTTAATTGGAAGAACAGTGAAGGACTTTGAAAAGCCATCTAGATTTTCCAACCAGGTATCACTAACTAGGTGGCTAAATTCTAGCCATGAAGAACTGTGAACGTGACACATATGCTTGTGCAACAACATACGGTCTGAAAGAAAGTCTTTTCCTTCCCCCCACCTTTCTTAGAAGCCATGGATACTCAGCTGTAGGAGTCTGTCCCCCAGAAATAGTAGAACTAAGTTTCTTCCAAAATAAACACAATATACGGATTAATTTAAATCACAGATCACACAAGACATTTTTAAAAGCTCCTGCAAGTTTAAAAGAAATTCCCTATTTAAAACTTACTTAAAAAATAAGTTTTCAATAAAAATTAAAAAGTTCCTTCAAGTAACTATTTTTCCTTGTCCACTGAACTCGCCTCAACTGTCTGAGGTACGAGATTATTAAGTACCATCGTACTTTTCATATACTTTTGCAAACCTGTTTTTCCTATCTAGTGATAAAGGCTACTTCTAAGATTCTTTGAGGCAAAGGTTGTACCATTCCTCTGAATGCCTTCACATGAGTCTCCCAAACAAGTAAACCAATCGCATTCTAGATGAAGCACAAGCAGAGCTATAACACACCATTTCTATATTGCCTTTCCAGGCCATGCTAGAAAATACTATATTTAACAAAGAGTTTAAATCCATTTTAATGTAATTCCTTCACAGTTCTTGACCTACAGATAGGACCCAAAAAGCATCACCATGTATTGTTGCTAAGAGGCTTTAATTTGATTACAGCAATTAAATGGGGCCACAATGATGAATATCTGGTCCAATTGCAGTTTAAAAAAATGAAGTTATTTTGATAAAGTTAGTTGAAGAAATAGAAGACTCCTGAAATTATGTCAGCAAGTTTCAAAAGCTTTGAAAGCTTACATAAACAGTAACATGTTCAAAATTTTTCTATTTCCAAGGACAGAAAGGAAAACAGAAGTCCATTTACAAGGCTTCTCTCCCATGTGTACTGCTCTCCTCCCACAAACCATAGAGGGGTACAAAAGAAAAGAGATGCTAATATGAAAATAATGTCAGATTTAAAAGTTAACTTACCATATTTGTCTCGCAAGCCAACTGTACACCTGAAGACTCCACCAAAGGCCACATCTTCACCAAATACTACTGAAAAGTAAGAAAGTAGAGGAGGCTAATGTTACTCCAATGCATCTTATTTTTAACGAATGTGTTTCAAAGTTTTTTATGAGACACTAACATAAGTAGCACCTAACATTTCATTTTACTTCAAGATCTATCTAGACATTTATTTATCTAAGCATTTCTCATGCACAGCCTAACTATAACAAATGAAGAACGAAGGTTAATGAGGAATCGGTACAGCAACAAAACTATGTCTCAAAACAGAATTCATGAAACTGATTCAGCTATGCTTTCATTAAACCATCTATTTATTTTTCTGAAATATTCTATAATATCACAATATCTGTATCTAAATGAATAAAAGCAATTCCAAGAAACAATTACATTCAACCACTAAAGAGTCATTGAAGTTATGTGTTCTGCTTCAGCTGGTAACCATTGGCATTCTTCATCCACAGATTTCAGTAAATGTAGTGTTTTGAAAAATGTCAAATTGAAGTTTTCTTCAAAATACCAATCCAACATGAAATTTCAAACCTTCTCCAAACATACTTGCCAGATCCCTGAAGAGTGACTTCAGAGGAACTCCTCTACAGAAAAGATGGGTATCTAATAACCAGGACAACTCTCAGTATTCAACACTACTATCCTTACAGTGTGGGTGATGTAGCCAATAAAGTTTTAAATGCAAAGTAATTGCCTTTAAAATTTAGCTTCATATCAACTAGTCGGGGGGGGTGTCTTTGAATTTATGGAATGATGACATCTAATTTCTCTTAAAACAGTTCTGTTATTCAATTCACAGAAATAAGTATTGCTTATTTCAATTTTTTTAAGCATGTAAGAGATGTGCAGCAGTATCACCAACAGCAGCTTGCATGAATGGGGGTCAGTTCTGATAATTCCCAAATTCCTCAATACTCTCCATATTCTAAAGGATGTGAGATATGATAATGAGTTAGCCTCCTTGCCTTTCAAATATTATTTTTATTTAAATAAAATACATTTCTGATTGGAAGCACTAAAAAGGATTAACACACTTCTGACAATCATATTAATGACAGCACTTAAAGAAAAATAACTTGTATAATAATGTAAAACCCATGCAGTCTTGGAGTACATAGAATCATAGAATCATTAAGGTTGGAAGAGACCTCTAAGATCATCGAGTCCAACTGTCAACCCACCACCACCGTGCCCACTAAACCATGGCCCTAAGCGCCTCATCTACACGTCCTTTAAATACTTCCAGGGATGGTGACTCAACCACTTCCCTGGGCAGCCTCTTCCAATGTTTAACTACTCTTTCAGTAAAGACATTTTTCCTCATGTCCAATCTAAACCTCCCCTGGCGCAACTTGAGGCCATTTCCTCTTGTCCTATCGCCAGTTACTTGGGAGAAGAGACCAACACCCACCTCGCTACAGCCTCCTTTCAGGTAGTTGTAGAGAGCAATGAGGTCTCCCCTCAGCCTCCTTTTCTCCAGGCTAAACAACCCCAGTTCCCTCAGCCGCTCCTCATAAGACTTGTGCTCCAGACCCCTCACCAGCCTCGTTGCCCTTCTCTGGGCATGAAGTGTGTATGAAGTGAAGTATGTCCCCAAGATCATCTCTCTAGTTCATTTTTAATATTAATTTGTTTGCTTTCTTATGTACTTAAAATCTTAAGGCCTTTCCAGTACCATATGGCTACTCACTTTTGAGCCAGCTGGCACAAAAAAAATCCCATTTAATGCTGCTATCAGCAAACTTGCATAGATTTACTCATTCTGTTCAGCCACTGAAAATATTTTCCTGGACAGCTTCTAATTCTCAACAACACAAGTATGAGGATTTCCACTACTTAAACAACAGTTGCTCAATTCCCATACAACTAAAAACACATGAAGGACATGCTTTCTATTGCAAGAAGTGCTAATTAATTCCGTTAAGTAGAGTGATACTGACAACTCACACGTCTGGACTGTAGAACTCCAACATGGTCTTGCAAAGGGCTTTGCAAAGATCCAGCCCTGCAAAGCTGAGGAGCAAGACTGGAACCTTAGAGTGACTAAATGGGTGGAGACTATATATGAGTTCAGGTTCCTGCTGGACTAACATTCTACTTATTTTTATATGGCTGATTCTACAGAAATAGCACTAAAATCTGTTCTTGGCACTAATTTACCCTCAGTTGTCTAAGTTTAATTTTAAAAAGGTGATTATAATACAGCTGTAGATTGAGAGGGAATGTATACAGGCATAGTACTGGACAGACAACATGGAATTTGTCCTAATAAATTAGATGATTAGTCAGACTTCAAGTAGTTCAAGCAGTGCCAAAAAGAGTTACTAACACAAAAAAGAAAAACCAAAAAAGAAAAACCAAAATTACACAAGATCATACAGCTTTTGCAGCTGTGTTCATGACATTAAACATCTCTTTCAGATATCTGACCATCTTCATACCTTTGTTATGACAACAGAAGCAACAGACCTCCTGTTATGTACAAGAATTAAAAGTGGAATAAACAGTTTTCTGCAAAAGAGTTTAGGATAACCCTTTTAAATCAAGCTATGATGAACGAGCTTCTTCAAAGTTATAGGTTAGCCAGACTGCAAAAGCCTAGAAAATCTTACATTTTTATGCACAACAATGAACAGAAATCAGTAAAGCTGGAAAGGAATTTCGGAAGGCAGGGAAGGAGAGAAGGGAGAATGGACAGAGCAAGGAATATATAGTCTCTAAAAAACATCACTTTTTGAGCATAGAGAGTTGAAGGAATTAAAAACTAAGATTTACATTTTAAAAACTCCTTTACTTACTGGTGGGACTCAAACTGCCCTTAAGTACAGTTCACATCAGTAATACCAGAAGCACGTTAAGCAATGCATCTTTCTGTCCCAACTTTCAAGCAAAATACACCTAGCTAATACAGAAAACACAACTGCACCTTAGATCACATAATCCATTAATAATCTGTTAATACAACACATTTTTAAGTTTTGTTTGAGATCAAAATGTAGAAATAACTTATTAGAAAACTTTAAAGGCCACAAGAAATGCCTTAAATACTGTACACAAATAGGTAAAACAAAATGCAATTTCTACAAAGCAAAACACACTAACAAGTATAGTATACCTGCAGTCGGATCTTTGGCTAAAGCATTGTCCAAGGCACTTGTTATGGATTGGAAGAGATTCATCTTCTGAGTTTGCCCTGTGTGAAAGTGATTATTTAGCCATTTAATTTTGTTCAAAACACAAAGTACATTAAAAAACACTGCTACAAAACATGACTAAAAACTTAGTTAACAGTCATAAACAAGATCCCTGTTAGGAGTAACCCAAGACTTATTTGCTGAGTAAACTTAAATTATGGAGTAGATGGGGTTGAGCATGGTATACTTTGCAATCCCAAGGACTATAATTCTACTACCCTGCATTCAACCTTTTTTTCAAAAACTATGCTCTTAGCTAGAGCAAATGCAGCTTTGCAATGCTTAGTCAAACACTAGGAACAATGACTAATTCAACGGTTTTTCAAAGGAAGAAACCATAGGAAAGCATTATTGTTTTGAGGATTGGGATCCTTTCTCCTAAGATTCACCAGATCTCATTAAGCTTACTTCATCATTCTTCAATTATTTTTTTTTAAAGCTCCAGCCTTTCCTCTTTACAGACACCTATTATTATCAGAAGTTTTCTAGACCACCGGCCTGCTCTCTGGACTGCAGTTAGAAAGTGTCAGAAGCATCAAATCCACACTCCAAAGAAAGAAAACTTGATGCTGAACAGCTACACTTAAAATGAATAAAGCAAATGCACCAGACTGCTGTATTAAAATCTTCTGCAGCACGGATTGAAAGAAAACCTTCAAAATCAAGACAGGCCACCTGAGTGCCCTTGTTCATTCCAGCACTGTGACGAAAAACAAACAGGCCTGAAAACAATAGCCCAGTCCCCACTACTGTGACCAACTCAGATTCTCCAAGCAAATACAATAATGGCTTATCAGAAACTGAGCAAATAAGAAATTGCCTGGCTGACATTTGGTAGCTCTTTCACTGGCAAAACCTCTAAGTTATGACTAGGAGCCACAGCCCAGAAGAATACTACCTACCAGCACACACAGCATGTTAAAAAAAAAACAAAAACAAAAAAAAACCCAAAAAAAGATGGTTAGGTGAAGATCCCAGACAAACAGGAGAACAGGTGTTAGAAATCAGAAAGGAGAACTACAGTCTGTTTCCAGTAGCTACAATATCTCTCAACAACCGTTCAGCTTCCCTTCCTCCTAAATTGTTAATTAACATTAGCAGTTTTGTTAAAGACTCATGTCATGCCACACCAGAGCTGAGTAGCTGCATTCCTACCCGTTCCTGTGCTTGGTAGCTTCACTTGTTACACTTTACATGGCCTTTTAAGAAGAGGAAACAGTAAAAAAAATTGTAATGGGAACTGTTCAAATTATATGAAAGATGCAAATAATCAACATTTACAAATTCAAGGAAAGGGAAGTTGGGGAACAGCAGTTGTTTCTCTTTTACAAAGTCATCCACATTAGTATTTAGATTATCTTTTCCACAAGATACAATCCTTCCAGTATTTGATACAAATAAATGCCTATTATTCAAGCAACTGTCAGAAACTCCTCACGCCGACTGTTCTGACCTGCTGCTCTTGCTTGTAATAAAGGCCTCTGTATCAGCCCTTGTGGGAAAAGAGAAACTAATCGTGCCCTTCAGATTTGAACTGTGGAGTTGGAGATGCATTATCTTAACAGTATCAGGGTCGGTATTGGCATAACTTTATTTTACTTTCACTATTTTTCCACAGAATTTCAAAGTGTATTTTATATCGAAGGGAAGTCGTTTTCTATCAATGAATGGCAACAAAAACTGTTGCTTCTTCACTATGATCTCAAGCAGGGACCTGCAGCACACAGGCTTTACTCTGCAACACCCTGGATGCCTATACCTCCCAATGACTAACAGAAATGGATGAGCGTTTTGGACTTGGACTTAGCAACCAAGCTGGAATACCAAGGTATCCACCTAAGTAGCACCCTTCTAGAAGACAGTGCAGTTCATGTGAGAGAAATGGCTATTCAGCAGCTGGCAGGCTTCTTCCAGGAGAACTCAGCACTAGTCATTTGCAGG